CAATACACCAATCAAGAGGTGAATAGTGGTGAAAAGAAGTGAAAGGATTAATAGATTAAAAAAAGGTTCAATGACCTCAAAATCCATCTTTAAGGGGCTAATACTTTCAAAATTTAAAGGAAGTCATCTCAGGTAGGGTTTGGCAACAGGTTCTGGAGAAATTATCACTGCCATTGCTTGAGGGAAGCCTTTTGGTTCCATATTACTCCTGCTCAAGGCCGCAGCTTCACAGGTAACAGCCTTCATTTGGGAGGGGATGACATCATGAGGTTGACTGGGCCTGAGACTCACTGTTGCTTAGCAATATTTCAGTCCCTTTTGACCAAAGTGTTTATCAAACTGTATGTTATTACTGGCATTCAGTCTAACTGCAAAAGAGAGCAACTCAAGAAGAAATAAAGCCACATTGGAGGGCACATTGGAGTTAGGCCAGTGACAGGTGCCTTCCCTCATTTCTACAGAAGTAGATAACATCTATTTTCTTAGATGTGAGAAAGAACATGATCTGACATTGCAGAAGTACCGTAAACACAGACTTCTTTGATCAGCCATGATATACCTCACCTCCCAAAGGCTTTGAATTCCTCATGGAAGTTCATTTTTGAAGGTGGCCTTAGCGATGACATGGATGTTGGCACTGATATTATTTGTGAATCTGGAGTGTACAGTGGCTGGCTGACCCATTCAGGAGAAACAGACCACTGGAAACTGGGAGCATTCCATAGGGATGAGGTGAATGAATCATCTACAATGAGTTAGATGCCCAAATGCATAAACCTTAGGAAATGTGGGAAACACAAGACTAAATGAAAGAGGGGCACTGGTGGCTCATGCTTTTAATTCTAGTTATTCAGGAAGCTGAGATCTGAGGATTACAGTTCAAAGCCAGCTTAAGCAGTTAAGACTCATCTCCAATTAGCCACCAGAAAACCAAAAGTGGAACTATGGCTAAAAGGGAGAGTGCTAGCTTTGAGCAAGAGCTCAAGGACAGTGCCCAGGTCCTGAGTTCAAGACCCACAACCAACCCAAAGAAAAAAAAAGTAAATGAGTTGTAGTAACTTTCTAGTGTTAGTTCATACTGGTGTCCCAGTTAGTCATACTGTAAGTGTGAATCTAGGAAGTACTCTAAAGTAATTATCTAAACAAACTAACATCACTAAAACCAAATCTTTCAAACGAGTATCAGTATTTTCCAATAGAATTTGGGCCTAAAACAAAAAATTCTATAGCTCAATAGCAGGAGTTAAAAGTTTTGGTGCAGCTAGTGATTACTGAAATGGATCATGTAAAACAAAGCTCAACAGATCTCATCTTTAGTCATTCCAGAACCCAGACAACTACAACCTCCCTTCCAGTGTGGGAACAACAGGCAATGACAAAATCAATACCTGTGTTCATGTTCTTCACTAATGGGGAAGCTACTCATAGGTACAGAATGTATTCTATTTCTCCAAGTAACAGCATGACGCTGTTGAAGTTTACATGAAATCAATATGAAATAAAACTTTCTGTGCAATAATTAATTATGGAATAGTTTTATTTGTTCCCAGAACACCTTTAAAAAAATCACACATAGGCATTTGCCTTAGAACAATACAATCTAGGAAAACTAATAAAAGGAGAATCTGAACATACACTGAAAGCACAGTCTACAGACTATGTGGCGGCCCTTGTGGAAAACAGTATGGCTCAGGTTGAATTGACAAAGCTATTCTGAACTCTCCAGGAAATCTCCCTTCCCACTGCATATCCAGTTTTAGACTATAAATTTAAAGAGATCTGTTTTATATGCATTAGTTACAGCAGTATAATGGCTTACATACAAATGTTTACCCACATGTAGCTCCCAAAAGGCTACTACAGTACTGGCAGGAATATGTGCTGCCTTGGAGGAAGACTCAGGATATTATTCAAGTCAAGTTGATTCAGAGCCAAAGTATTTCACAGACTTAGCAAAAAATTGAATCTACACACATTTCTTATAAGATTTACTATTGCCCAGGAACAGAAATATTTTGAAGGCACCATCACACAAAAAGGACACAGAACGTAAGAAATAAAAACCATCCTCTAGGCTCAGCTCTTCTAGGGAGCTGTGTGAGCAAAACTCCAACAGCATGTAATAAGCATCTCAAGACTTGGTGAGTTTTGTCACATTTGCCAGGCCACATCTTAGGGCTACTATATTGGGACAGAAGAAAGCATTAAGAATGAAAAGTTGTTACAAATCCCACTGATTAGATGTGTCAGAGTACATGTTCACCATACAATTATGTAAATATTCTAGACGACCCAGAACAACATTGTGGAAAAAGAATACCAATGTTTCTACATACAACTAGTTAATTCCTGACACCCACCTTGAGGAGGAATAGCCTTGGACTGCTAAACAGCCTCTATCTTTAAAGACTTACCCTCTTCCACTCATTAAATGGCTATTTCATGGAAAAAATAATCCCAACAAGGCACTGAGGGCTTTGGGGGATATTAAGTCACTCAACAGCTTCATAGCAAATGTACCAATACAAGTATTTCATCACCTTTTTGCTAATCAGATTAAAGGTTAAAAATACATTTCACAGAGTGCTTGTGGTATTTATGAAAAACAAGGATAAGGTGCCTTAAAAACTATGCATGTTGCTTAGAAATCTGCACTTAAAACAGTTTTATCCCTTTTGCAAAGGCTTGGAATGGGAATTCAAAAAATCCAAAAAAGTTTTTACCAATAATAGTTATGTTCTCCTTGTGGAAAAAAAAATGTTAGGAACCAAGTCTTTCCATATTCACAGAAGTTAAGTTACTGTGACAGTTCTTTGGTGCGGCAAATATCCAAGGTCCTTTTTCTCCTTTGTTAAGGAATTGTTATAGTTAGAAAAGCATTTAAGAATGCTCGTTCACTGAGGATCTTCCAAGGTTTCAAAGGGAATGCTTCTGAACCAAATAAGACTGAACACTAACTAGGAATTTAACATTGATTTTTTTTAAAAAAGAACATTGATACAACCTATGCAATGTCATATTTAGCTATAAATCCAAAGGGATTTCATCAGTTAGGTAGAACTTTATTTTTCCAACATCAAATTATAAGTTATTTCCTGTTTTCAAATAAGTAGAAATAAGAAGATGAAAAACTAAAGTTGAAAAAATCCATATACAAACAGAAGAAAATACAGCTTCACACCTCCTTTGAATAAAAAAACTCTTAGATCAGGTCCATTTTATTAATAATATGTTTCTATAATATCTTGACATTATACAAGCAGTTGTTACAGTTAAATTTCACACTGAAGACAAACACTATTTGGCTTAGGAAATAGAAAGTTAAGTAAGTTACATCCTTCCCATCAGATAGTATAGTATAACAGTTTAAGTAAGCTTAAACTTTCCTTATTTCAGCATCACTGTATGTGCATTTCTCCCTTTCAGGAATATGAAGCAAGTAAGAAATAAATATGTGGACATATGTCTCACTGGAGAACATAAAGCTTTGAGCAAAACTAGCCCCCCACACCCATGAAGCCAAAGGTAGGACACTGAATGCTTCTGCTTTTCTCCTACCATAAGCTAAGTCCTAACTAAAGTCAGAATTGCTAAAAGACTAAGTGGTAAAAAGTTAATGAAACTGTCTAACTTCTGTCTCAGTGCTTCTTAGAATGGAGTAATGTTTTCCACAGCATTCCATCTGGCAGTCTAAAGCACCAAGTTTTGATTCTATACCTGCTCATCCAAGATTTTTACTCTATCCCTACTAAGTAACAGTGCTCTAATACTGAGCTCAATCAAACCCAGCTCCAGATGACCAGCTAAGGGAACAACATACTTCAGCTTAGGGCTTGAGAGCTTCTCTGATCAGCTAAAGTTCAGAAGCTCTTAATTGTGAACGAATGTAACAAAGAAAAAAAAAATCTCTGGGGTCAACATGGAGAGAGACATTTTAAAAATGAAATCTTGGGTTTAGTTACTAATAGTCTGGGAAAAAGGTTCACTTGGAATCAACTGTAAGTGGGATAATATACACATTGATAGAACATCATTCTTTATTCCACTTTTTTTTCAAAATATATCAAAACACTAGAATATACATACTAGAAGGCTTCCCACTTCATAAATAACCTCAGAGTAATGGCCTATACTACTGTAATCACTCTTAGAAACAAACTTCCAATTCCTCAAGAGGAAATAACTTAATCCTCTTTGCTGTGTTCAAATACTGAGAACAATAAAATGTGGCCTCCACAATTTTTAAACTGAAATGGCTCATGTATACTTAAAACCAAAGTAAATTCACTTGTATACCAACATTAAGGCAATCACAATAAAGCCTGTGCACATTGAATCTTTAGTATCAGTGCTACTTCTTACTAGTAGCAAGTTCCCATTCCCACTGAAACCGCAATCCACAGGTAACATCATCAAATTTAAGAAAGATACTACAAATATTATTAACTTAAAAAAGACAAGTCAGTGTTACCCAGTACTGAAAATCAACTAGGTTATGGGCTTTTAAATTTTTAAATAAAATTATTCAAAATGAATTAAAAAGCCTAACATAAACAATATTCTCCTAGCTTTATGAAGCCATTTTCAAATATTTCAGAAATAAGAGGCATGGGTTAAGTGCTCTGTGCATTTTCATAGTCCTCCACTATAGTGAGGCACCTCCAGAACTGAGTCTGTGAGAAGTTGGGGAAGGCATTCTGATATAGTAAGTTAGAATAAACAATACCGATGAACATTCCTGTGCTTCATAATGATACCTGTACAAATGATTCCAACTATAAAATATAGTCACCATTATAAAATCAAGGTTGGGGAACCCTGGCATACATGGAAAAAGGAAAACAAAGATTTATTTCACTAACTTCCATAAGGTTCACATAGAATAGTGAACACAACAATTTCAGATATTACATTTATAAATCCTAATATCAAATACAGATCTCTGTGACAAAAGCTGAACTCTCTGGGAAAGAATGCTGTACCAGTCACATGCAAAGGAATGGATCTAATAATAAATCTGTTTTATTAAAACATTATTTAGTAACATTAATACACACAATCAGTGAGATATTAGTACCTTAGTAAATTTTACATTTTGATCACCAATTAGAAATCACCTTAATGAACAGATGCATTTTATGAAACTGAAGATCTTACAATTCCAGAGGCATTTTTTTATTAAGTGTCCAACTATTTCAAACAATCAAGGGATTAAGCAAATATCGGTTGGAAATTTGATAATTCAAACTAAATCACCAACAAAGAGACACAAGTTCTAAAAAGTAAATATTCAGTTTTTGTTGTTAAACTAATAATTTTGATTTGCCTACAGGTTTAAGTTTTGTTAATTTGTGGCCAATTTTAATAGTTAAAAATTATTCATCATTTTGAAGTCTTAAAAATAACATTTTGTCAATTTCAAATTTTACTTTTCTGGTTAAGGCTATTTCAGATATAAAAGGTATCAAACTGCCCAAAAATACTTTGGAGCTGTTGCTACATACACAGACAGTGAGTCCTTTTAAAGGATCGTCTGCATTTTCACATACATTATCTGATTAAATATTAATTTTAAAAAATTATCAAAAGTTTGGTATTGCATTAAGAAAAGAATCCATCTCCAAATGTGAATCATGAAGCTTGATGGTGATTTAATCATTTCACTTTTTTTTAAAATATCAGGTTGAATGTAAAAATGTTTGCTAAATGTGATTAATGTTTTTATAATTTAAGAAACAGGATATTTTAAACTTTTGATTATGGCATATGCATTAATACATTTTTTAAAATTTAGGCTAAACCAGTAATTCATACAAGGCATTAAACCTTTATTAAGAACAAAACTGAAATGTTACTTTTATATGAAAATTTATCATGCTATTTATTTTTTTAAAAAAAAAAAAAGGTCTTTCGTCATTGAAATCGCTGAGGCTTTCAAATTCAAGAGCCAAATGAGGACTTTCTTTAGCCAAACAAATTCTTTCAACTTGTCACATAGGGTCAGGATCTTTGTTCTGCTCCTGTTGCAGCTTCCTCTGCAGCACAGCAACAAGCATGCAACAGCAGAAATATCAGAACGCTAGGGAGGATAAAGGCCTTCATTTCACAGAAGCCTGTTCTTCACTTACAATGAATGGTACATCAGCTTTTCTCACCAAACACAATCTAGAATATATATCCGTGATACAAACACAACTCAAACAGAAACATGGAGAACAAATATGTCCTCTTAGAATAATTTGCATACTGGTGATTTAAGGTTTTGTAACTATGTTGTAATTTCAAAGAAAACTGTAAACCAAGCAACATACAGATGATGGCATCCCAATAGGTTGCCTATGTTCATTCATGAATGTACTCCCTCAGTGGTCTACTCCCAGTCGAATATGTTCTTAAAAACATACATAGATCACTCCCCAGGGGAATCTTTCCTTAGGTAACAGCTTCCTAGTAATGTGCATTTTTAATAAAAGGCTAAAACAATAGATGGTACCCAAATCTGCCTTTCTACTCCAAGAGGAAGCATCAGTAAAAGACAGCTGGCAGCACCTTTCTCTAAAATAACTTGCAGCCTTGGGCTGCCAGACTAAAATTTACAACAACAAACAATTGGATGTAAGCTGATATACCTATAGTGACAGAGATTGAGGAATACCATCTGTCAACCCATACGTGTAGAAACAAAACAAAGTACAGAACGAACACAAACATTTTAAACTAACAAACAAATATAGCTGAATACAGTCCATGATATATTTGATTACTGGTATAACCATAGATGAATACTTAAATAAAAAGTATTATTTTTTATAATGATGTTAATGGACTTATAAAAGGTTTCTGTTTCCAAAGATGTTACTGGGGTCCACATATTCCTTGACAGATTTCAGCATCCCAAAGCCGACATCAGAAATGCTTTCCTTTAGCCACTGCTTCCGTAACTTGCCCACTGGAAAGACAAAATCAAAAATGCTTCAATATACACTATGATGCTAGGAACCAATCAATCTTGTGACCATGAGTGCACAAACACTGTGTGATAAATGTTTTTATTCAAAAAATGAGAAATGTTTTGCTTTATTTGATTTATTGAGCCCAACAGACTATCAAGCTCATTAAGCGCAATGCATTCCCAGGGGAAGTCTGTGTTTCAGTGTCTCCTTTCTCTATAAACTATGAAACAGAGATTAAAGAAAGCCTGGACTGAGAGTACAGACTACTTTACAAGTAACAGTAGGATGAAAACATGGATTTAAAAAATTTGATTGTATCTTAACTACCAACATACCAATGTTTCAGAGAAAATGATGTTAGCGACAACAAAAAACCCCACATAGAAATGAATTTGCTGAGTACACTATGCAAAAAAGGACAAGATACAGATCGTTAAAATATTTTATGAAACATGATCTTTAAAAACATAAGAAAATCTGAACCTTAGCTATGTCTATAGGAAAGAAAACTAGTTGTAAAGTCTGTTTATATTTTCTTTTCACAATGTTTCTAAATAAAATTGCACATTCCCAAAAAATGGTTACTTTCTGCATTTATGATTTTTTTGGGGGCATTGAAAGTATCAGATACCTAAATCTCTCTTAAATTTAACCTTTTGTTTTTTAAAACTCTCTAATGTCCCTCCTTGGTCTTATTACCTTAAGGAAAATAAGTTGATAAAGAAAATAAGTTGATATCAACTTATATATATCATTTCTATATATCATTTTAAAGCCCATTAACAAACATATATAATATAGTGAAAGCAATGAATAAACTTACATATACACATGTTACGTATATATGTATACGTAACATGTATATATGTAAGTTTATTTACATACATGTAAAAGACTTACATGTAAAAGACTTCTTGGCCTTGAAAAGTAAAGCAAAATGTTGACTATGTATCAAATGGGTAACTTTTAATTTATAGTTGTGTTATTTTGCAGTTAGCACTTCTCAAACATATGCATTAGTATGATTCAAATGGTCATCATTTTCCACAAATGTTCATTAATGATCCAGTCATAAACAGTGACTTAGTTGGCCAACTGAAATGAGAAACCTTCTTTCATTAAAGTATGGAGCCTGTCATCCTAAAATGCAGTCTCATTTATCAGGCTGTGCAATATATCATGGCATCTCCCTCCTGGAAACCTTAAATACCATTTCAGTTCGACTCAAACCATCTTTTGTGCCAAGTTTTCCATGAAATCATCAAACTGTCATCAAAATAATAAGTAGCATGATACCCTTAAATAGCAAGATATTTCTACTTGGCTTTTGGAAGTAAAATTACTGTTGGTGTTCACATAGAAAAAATAAGGTTTGGCCAAAACAAAAACAAAAACCAACTTAATAAAAAAAATTTTGTTCAAGAAAGCACTAAACCAGACACTAAACAATACAAATTCCTATTCAAATCATATCTACTATCTAAAAAATATGCTACCTGAACTTTTTATGTAACATCCATCTCCCTAAGGAGTAACCCATGACTATGCTTTAATCTCAATTTTCTGACTTTCTAAATGGATTAGAATCTAGTCTTCAGTTCTAATACTCTATGTTAATATTTAAATGTTAAAAATTAGTTATTTCCAGATTTGCTCTGTGAGATTAAAAAATCAAAACAACCTCTCTAGACAAATATAAGTGGCCCTACTATGTTCCTACATGCTTCTCATACTGAGGCAACATAGAGAGGGGTGAAGAGCAATCAATGCCAGTCTCCACTGTTATCTGTAATACAGTTTCACTGAATGTGTCCTATGGTTATAGATGTAATTGTCCTGAAAAGATTGCAAACAACTGCTCCAACAAGATGGAGCACATTAGAAGCTCAGCAGGATGCCCAATAGCTAGCTTGTCTGCTGGTTTTACACCTCTAGTAAGAATGCAATTCCACAAGGAACTCAACCATCATCTGAGAAGCCACCCAAAAGCCATTGCATATTTAATGAAGTCTCTCACCAAACGCTAGAAAACAGAAGGTGCTTGGAGTGCATCATTAGTTCTGTCAGAAGGATAATTTACACATCTATCTTGTCAAATTTTCTATGGTTTATACTTTTACAATAATCAATCTAACATACATTTGATTAGTGAAGTAGAAAGTAGCCAACATAGCTGTGGCCCCTCAGAAACATACTTGATGAAAGAATTAACTCCTTGGTGGTAAACAGGTATATGAATTTCTGCTATTGACTAGATTTAGACTGGCATTAAAAATCATAAACTGCAATTACAGACTAGCAATGTTTTGTTTTGCTTACCAAATTGTCAAGTACATTGTATAATGAGAGTATAGGTAGAAAACAGCTTCAGTTAAAAACACTCAATGTGCCTTAATAAGACAATTACTGCAAATGATACTGAGATCTGGAGAACTTTCTGTAGATGCCTAGAACAACACAAGCCCAAACCCAGAGAAAAAAGACATTGCAATCTAAGTAGACTTTTCTACACAATCACAATAATGCCCTTGTACATTCTTTTGGGGAGGGTTGTTTTTTTTTTTGAGAGAGAGAGTTTTGCTATTTAGCTCAGGCTGGACTCCTATTGTCTCTACCTCCTGAGTGGGGGGATTACAGACATGCACCATCACACTCAAATCCCCCTGAACAATTCTTGAACTGTTAAGCACTCAGAAATTAGCTGCCTACACAGTTTGTATATATGCAACACACATGTGCACATATCTATATATTAGTAGCTTAAACATGTTCATTTTCTGAAGCATGCTACATCAGAGAAAGGAGAATGAATAAAAATAACAAATAACAGATAGCCTAAGACTATTTTAGCATACCAATGCATGATGGCTATTGGCTCAAAAGGCATGTACATTTGGACCACATAGAGTCTTGTTTCCTTTCTACATCTGAATCATCTGAGGTGGTGGCATTTATTGTTATTAACTTTTGATCTCTGATTCTCTCAATGTTTAAATTTTGCTGCCTTAGAGTTAACATCATTATAAAAAGCCAAGTTCACCATTTCTGAAAAAAAGAAAAGCTATAGGAACCATGTATTCCACAATTAACTATTATAAATAAGAATGCCCACAGTATTCATATATTTAAAAGTCTTAGATGCATAAGATACAAAAATGAGGATTCAACTATTAAACATATACCGGGGAGGACCTTTTGCAGTTTAAATTAAAAACAGGGCTCACACTTTCACATTTTACGACTTTGTTTCTATTGCTGTACATACATACCAACTGGATAAACAGGTTGGATTTTTTTCTCTTTTTTCCCTGGGGGTATATGTGTTCTCCAATATACAATTAATTTATATATATATACTTGTGAAAGAGAAAAAAACGGAAACTTCCAGAGATATCCTTTGAAATCAAAGGCTCATTATTCACATTTGGATGTTAACCACTCTAAGGGACAATATATTCTGTAGTGTAATCAACAGCACAAAAAAATTAAACAGATGTATATGTGAAGGCAGCATTGAAGTGATGTTGTTTGTGGAAAGTGTGGACTTGGTCAGCATAGCCACTAATTATTATCAGGAGTTAACTCTCTGTGGTTTGAGGGAATGAAGATTTAGCAGAAAACACCAAAGGCTCCACTTAAAAGAGACAAATCTGGGGTCTGTTTGTCACAGAAGTCTCTTTTAGCTTGATATAATTTAACTTTTTTAAACACTAAGCTTGCTTCTAAAGCCAAGAAGACTTGTACATTTGTTAAGAATAATGAAATGGGACATATATTTAGAATTGCTGAAGCTAAAACTGAAAAATACAATGTAGCTTCTGGGTAAATAAAGTTTGCCTAAGATCATTTAAAAGATGTTAAATTTGGGCCGAGAAGTTGGCTCAGTGGTAGAGTGCTTGCCTTGCATGCATGAGGCACTGGATTCAATTCCTCAGCACCACAGAAGCAGAAAAAAGCCAGAAGTGGCACTGTGGCTCACCTGGTAGGGCGCTAGCCTGGAGCTGAAAGAGCTGAAGGACAGCACCCAGGCCCAGGCCCAAGCCCCAAGACTGACAAAAAAAAAGAAAAAGAAAAAAGATGTTAAATTTGAAAATCTCTTTATCAGATTTATCTGTTTGCTAATACTATAAAACTACAAAAAGTATTCTATAATAATAGAGTGCAGGTATTCTTGGATAAACAAATATCTTACTTATAAGAATCTTAGACATAAAAATGTCAGAAAGAGCCAAGCACTGGTGACTCATGCCTATAATCCTAGCTACTCAGTAGGCTGAGATCGGAGAATTACAGTTCAAAGCCAGCCTAGGCAGGAACATCTGTGAGACTTTTTTTTTCCGTCGGTCGTGGGGCTTGAACTCTGGGCCTGTACGCTGTCCTTTAGCTCTTCAGCTCAAGGCGAGTACTCTACCACTTGAGCTACAGCGCCACTTCCGGTTTTCTGGTGGTTTATTGGAGATAGGAGTCTCACTGTCTTTCCTGCCCGGGCTGGCTTTGAACCGTAATCCTCAGATCTCAGCCTCCTGAATAGCTAGGATTACAGGTGTGAGCCACCAGTGCCCGGCTCTGTGAGACTCTTATCTCCAATTAACCACCAGAAAATCGGAAGTGGTGCTGTGGCTCAAGGGGTAGAACGCTAGTTGAGCTTTAAAAAAAGTGCCAAGAAGAGTAAGTTCTCTTTAGAGGTCTGAAGAGGAGTGGTTATTCAAGCTATCTATCTTCTCTTAAAGTTATCTCTGAAGGCATAGTTTTCATGAACAGGTGGTAAGAGACAACAGAAACAATGTTGTCATTGGACCTTTATCTAATACCGAGCATGTATAGTTGCATGGTTAGGAAGGGCAGGGAGCAGAAAATTTTACCTATAAAATTTCTGTCAATCCTCAAATCTGAACCTATGATACAGCTGTTCTATCAAATCATGACTTTGCTAATACTCATCTGAGAAAGCATTAATTCCCAGTCTCAAAAATTATTTCCCAGTTTGAAAAATGAA